ATACAATACTGGGAATCATGACCTAGCCAAGTTGCTACACACATTTTGGGGGACACAATTCAATCCACGACAATAAGCATCTAAGTTGTTTCCATCTTTTCGTTATTGTGAACAATGCTGCAATGAACACGGGTGTGCATACATCTATTTGCGTGACGGCTCTTATTTCTCTAGGATATATTCCTAGGAGTGGGATTGCGGGATCATATGGTATTTCTATTTCTAGCTTTCTAAGGAAGTGCCATATTATTTTCCAGAATGGTTCTGTACTCCCATCAGCAGTGCAGAAGAGTTTCGATCTCCCCATAGCCTATCCAACATTTTCTACTTCCAGTTTTTTTGATCCCTGCCAGTAAAGCCAGAGTGAGAGGGTATCTCATTGTGGTTTTCATTTGCATATCTCTAATGGCTAGTGATCGGGAGCATTTCCTCATGTGTCTGTTGGTCACTTTAATATCTTCTTGGTGAAGTGTCTTTTCATTTCTTTTGCCCATTTTTTATTTGGATTATTTGTCTTCTTTTTGTAGAGGTGTTGGATTTTCGTGTACATTTTAGAGATTAGACCTTTGTCTGACTTGTAATGACCAAAAATTTTATCTCACTCTGTAGGTTCTCTTTTTACTCTTTTGGTGAAGTCTTTTGATGAACATAAGTATTTAATTTTTAGAAGATCCCAGTTATCTAGCTTATCTTCTGGAGTTTGTGTGATGCTGGTTATGGTTTGTATCCTGTTAATGCCATGTATTAGCACCTCTAGCATTGATCCTATGTTTTTTTCTATGAAGTTATAGTTTTTGGCTTTATATTTAGGCCTTTGATCCATTTTGAATTAGTTTTTGTATATGGTGTGAGGTATGGGTCCTGTTTCATTTTTTTTGCAGATGGGCATCCAGTTTTGCCAGCACCATTTGTTAAAAAGACTATCTGTTCCCCATTTGATGGACTTTGGGCCCTTGTCAAAGATCAGGTGACCACAGGTGGATGGATTTACATCCGGGTTCTCAATTCTGTTGCATTGGTCAATACCTGTCGTTGTACCAGTACGAGGCTGTTCTGACTACCGTAGCTGTATAGTAGGTTCTAAGGTCAGGTAGTTTGAGTCCTCCTACTTTATTCTTCTTCTTCAATAGTGCTTTACTTCTTTGTGGCTTCTTCCCTTTCCATATAAAGTTAATGATTAGTTTCTCCATTGCTTTAAAGAATGTTGTTGGTATTTGGATGGGGATCGCGTTGTGTTTGTAAATTGCTTTGGGCAGAATTGACATTTTCACAATGTTGAGTCTATCTATCCATGAGCATGGTATGTTTTTCCATTTATGTAGATCTCTTTTGGATTCCTGCAGTAGTATTTTGTAGTTTTCTTTGTATAGGTCTTTTACATCCCTAGTTAAGACTTATTCCTAAGTATTTTATTTTTTTAGGGGCTATTATAAATATTGTTTTCCTGATTTCCTTTTCGTCATTCTCTTCATTGGTGTATAGGCATCCAACTGACTTTTGTATGTTTATCTTCTATCCTGTTACCTGCTGAATCTTTCTATTAGTTCCAGTAGTTTTCTCGTGGAGTCTTTAGGGTTTTCTATGTATAGTATCATATCATCCGCAAATATGGACAGTTTAACTTCTTCATTACCAATTTGGATGCCCTTTAGTTCTTTTTCTTGCCTTATTGCTTTAGCTAGGACTTCCAGCACAATGTTAAATAGGAGTGGCAATAAAGGTCATCCTTGTCTTGTTCCTGTTCTCAAGGGGAATGTTTTCAGCCTCTCTCCATTAAGAATGATACTGGCCGTTGGTTTTGCACAGACACCCTTTATTATGTTGAGAAATTTCCCTTGTATACCTATTTTATTGAGAGTTTTTATTACAAATGTGTGTTGGACTTTGTTGAATGCCTTTTCTGCATCGATTTAGATGAACACGTGATTCTTTTCTTTCCTTTTATTTATGTGGTGGATTAT